GGCAACAGGGCTGACGGCAGGGCCGAGGGAGACCGGCAACAGGGCCGATGGTACGGCCGGGGCAGACCGGCAACAGGGCTGACGGCAGAGGCCCGGGCAGATCGGCAACAGCGCTGACGGCAGGGCCAAAGCAGACCAGCAACAGAGCGACGGCAGGGCGGGGCAGATCGGCAACAGGGCTGATGGCAGGGCCGGGGCAGACCGGCAACAGTGCTGACGGCAGGGCCGGGGCAGACCAGCAACAGGGCTGACGGCAGGGCCGGGGCAGATCGGCAACAGGGCTGATGGCAGGGCCGGGGCAGATCGGCAACAGGGCTGACGGCAAGGGCCCGGGCAGACCGGCAACAGTGGAGACGGCAGGGCCGGGGCGGACCAGCAGCAGGGCTGACGGCAGAACCGGGGCAGACCAGCGACAGGGCTGACGGCAGGGGCCCGGGCAGATCGGCAATAGGGCTGGCGGCAGGGCCGGGGCAGATCGGCAACAGGGCTGAAGGGAGGGGCCCGGGCAGACTGGTAACAGGGCTGACGGCAGGGCCCGGGCAGACCGGCAATAGGGCTGACGGCAATAATCAAAGCATGGTGTGCAGAAGAGCAGGGAGTCGAGGAATGAAGACCACTGGGCACGTGGATGATAACGTGGCAGTTGGCAAAATAAGTCATTGTCACTTAACTTTCGCGATATTATACGAAAATTGCACCAGTGAGAATGAGAGCTCCTCTCTCTCTCTCTCTCTCTCTCTCTCTCTCTCTCTCTCTCTCTCTCTCTCTCTCTCTCTCTCTCTCTCTCTCTCTCTCTCTCTCTCTCTCTCTCTCTCTCTCTCTCTCTCTCTCTCTCTCTCTCTCTCTCTCTCTCTCTCTCTCCTCTCTCTCTCTCTCTCTCTCTCTCTCTCTCTCTCTCTCTCTCTCTCTCTCTCTCTCTCTCTCTCTCTCTCTCTCTCTCTCTCTCTCTCTCTCTCTCTCTCTCTCTCTCTCTCTCTCTCTCTCTCTCTCTCTCTCTCTCTCTCCTCTCTCTCTCTCTCTCTCTCTCTCTCTCTCTCTCTCTCTCTCTCTCTCTCTCTCTCTCTCTCTCTCTCTCTCTCTCTCTCTCTCCCCGGATACGACACCTCTCTGTCTCGAGACACGGCACGTCTCTCTCGGGACACGGCACCTCTTCCCCTCTGGATACAGCACCAGCGGCGCGCAGCCTGGCGCCGTGTCCCGACCCGGTCGGAGCGGGCGCCGTCGGTCACTGTTCGTAGCCTGCCCCTCCACCCCCCCCGTTTCAGCGTTCTCCAGCTCGCCGGCCGGCCAGGCGCGGCGGCACGCGGCCATCTCATCCGAGTGACGCCACAACTTCCGGTGACCGGCCGGGCGAGGCAATCTGATCAGCTGGCGGCGGTCGGGCGGGACAGGGCAATACCGGCACGTCATCCGGTATCTGGAGCTGCCGCGCGGTGAGGCTCTGAACGATCAGGCCACCGCCCTCTGAGCCACAAGTCCATCGTCCTCCGAGACACCGGGCTACCGTCCTCCGAGACACCGGGCTACCGTCCTCTGAGACACCGGGCTACCGTCCTCTGAGACACCGGGCCACGGTCCTCTGAGACACCGGGCCACGGTCCTCTGAGACACCGGGCCACAGTCCTCTGAGACACCGGGCCACGTTCCTCTGAGACACCGGGCCACGATCCTCTGAGACACCGGGCCACGGTCCTCTGAGCCACGGGTCCATCGTCCTCCGAGACACTGGGCCACGGTCCTCTGAGACACCGGGGCACTGTCCGGGCCACTGTCGCACACATGGTCACTGTACAGCACTGGAGAAGCGCATGGTGCCTGGGAAGACGTGACGCCAGGGCACCACCCGGCATGTCCGGGTCCTAACCGCATATCGCGTATCGGGAGACTGCCCGATAATCGGGTCGCTGCCCGATAATCGGGTCCCTGCCCGCTAATCGGATCGCTGCGCAGCAATTGGGTCAGTGGAATGTCGTTCCGGGTCACCGTTCGACCCTCGGATCAGCCTTGTCACTGGACATGGTACGGCGACCCAGGGACGTAAAAATGGTCTCGTGCTAGGATATGAGCCTGTGCCGTGTACTACGCGCCAGCGGTCCATTTTTTTTTAAAGGCTAGGTTAGATCATGTAGGGCGAGGAATAATGCACCGCCATTACGTCATAATACCGTGCCCAGATTGACAGCTGAGTCTTCAGACGTTATCAGTTGCCTTGGTTACCACTCACGCGCCCAGGCGGCAGTGGTTACCTCCTGAGCCGGGGAAAAACTGACAGACCACGTAAATGCTTCAGCAAAAGGAAGATGCCAACACGCGTGCCAAAAACACTTTCCACCGCATGTTGGTCTAGCAGGCGGGCGCTTCGACACGCCGCCACACTGGGCTGGATGCGTGCGGGCGACACGACTCATTACCGACGCAGCCGCCGTCAATGGAGCCGACAGCCGCGCGCGCTGGAACGTGGCCGGCCTTTGCTCAATACAAGCGCCCCGGGACAGGACAACCGGAGGGAATCATTCCGCAAGAATATGATGAATGCATGAGAATATTTTCCTGCACAGGACCGGTGTTCTTACGAACTTATTCTGGATGTGCCGAAGCTTACCAGTGACATCTTGGACGAGTGGTAGAAAATGAAAGCCCAGTCACAAGTGTCATCCACTTCAGGAGCATGGGAATGGCTATCATGTGGCATGGCCTTTCCACTTGTTGAAATTTAGACTGCAATCATATAAGCAGCTGCATAAATGCGCGACTTGTGATTTTGAGCCTCACAATGTGGTGGGAACTTACAGCAGTTCATCGGAAGTATTAATTACTTGAATCAGCTTAAATTTCGAAACCGGTTTGGCACACCCTGTAGCCAAACACCACCTGACGTAAAGCGCATTTGCCGCCCTTCCGCAGTCTCCACAGCGGCAGCCACAGCGCTGCTCAGCCGCTGGCGGCGGCGTCCGGCAGCAGGGACAAGGGCAGCCGGCGCCGCGCCGTCGGCGACGTCCGGCGGCAGGGACAGGGGCAGACAGTGCCGCGCCGTCCGCGGCGTCCGGCGGCAGGGACAGGGGCAGCCAGTGCCGCGCCGTCCGCGGCGTCCGGCAGCAGGGACAGGGGCAGCCAGTGCCGCGACGCCAGCGGCGTCCGGCAGCAAGGACAGGGGCAGCCAGTGCCGCGCCGTCCGCGGCGTCCGGCGGCAGGGACAGGGGCAGACAGTGCCGCGCCGTCCGCGGCGTCCGGCGGCAGGGACAGGGGCAGCCAGTGCCGCGCCGTCCGCGGCGTCCGGCAGCAGGGACAGGGGCAGCCAGTGCCGCGACGCCAGCGGCGTCCGGCGGCAGGGACAGGGGCAGCCAGTGCCGCGCCGTCAGCAGCGTCCGGCGGCAGGGACAGGGGCAGCCAGCGCCGCGCTGCCAGCGGCGTCCGGCAGCAGGGACAGGGGCAGCCGGTGCCGCGCCCTCGGCGGCGTCCGGCGGCAGGGACAGGGGCAGCCAGTGCCGCGCCGTCAGCGGCCACCTACCGTCGGTGCAGGGGCCGCGGTCGACGGCGCAGCGTCCGTCGCCGGTCGGCCGCCAGCCGGCCGCGCACGCGTCACACGTCAGCGCTCCGGTGCAGGAGTCGCAGCCCAGCGGGCAGCGCAGACACTCGCCGCGTTCCGCGTCCCGGAACGAGCCTGCAACGGCCGGCCGCCGGTCACGCCTGGCACCGCCCGCCCGGCTGGCAGGGTTCAAACAGACAGACTCAGAGACGCCGGACATCTTCCGTCCAACCAGGGCCAGTGTACAGCGACGGTGCACGTCTGAGTCTGTCGTCTGGGCCCTTCACGCTGTACATCCCGTCGTCAACCCCGCCTGCAGTCGGCTCGGACACCACTGTTCTTCCCCTTCCACGCGTCCACATACTGTCGTTCTAAGCGCACCGTCCTCAGCGTCAGTATGAAGGCGCTGTTGTAAGACGTGTCCGTTTCTCTCGCTAACCAGTCTGGAATGTGTTGTCAATAATGCCACTACACGGTCAGCCTGGAATGCGGTCTGCGCTCGGGCATTCCGTCTGATACGCCGCTGCATTCATGAGGCACACTGCCGCCTGTCTTATCACTTCCAGTCATGCAGGGTCGCGAGGTTAACGTTACGGCTGTGCAGGAATAATATAGGGCTGCAATGTCGCAAGCGCGTAAACAAGTGTTATGGGTCCGCGCCTGCTCAACTGTGCGAAGCCTTGTCGGGTGGGGTGACAAGGGCTGTGCAATATGCACGAGATTTGATAAATGGCACCTCCGTGATCGCGTGTCCCAAACTCATATCCATTTGTAGTAAAACTGGGCGGTGACGTCAGTCATGACTGGGCCTCCAATATTGCTTTGTCAGCACCCATGTCTCGAACCCCACACACAGCACAGGTGGCACAAATATGAACCGAACACTTCAGCATTTCAGTTCAACTCACCACCGCTAGAAAGCAGTGAATCACAAGATGTGAAAGCGACAGAACGAGAAACAGGACCACCAGTTGTCACCAGATTCCCAAAACATGGCACGTATTAACAGGACAACGACCGGAAGCAGGACTGCGTACAACAGGCCGACAATAAATAATTCGAGAAGAAAAGAAACAGAATATCGGCTCCATCCCTGTCCCGCACAAATGGCCGAACGCGCTCGGCCATTTGTTTGTCCGCTGAGCGGTCCTTCCGAGCGGTGGCAGCACGACACACACACGCGCACACATACACACACACACACACACACACACACACACACACACACACGCACACACAGGCAAGCAGACAGGCAGGCAGGCAGGCAGGCAGGCAGGCGACGAGGCAGCGCAGGCCATCCCGGCATGCAAAGCGCTCCGGTCCGCCCCCGTGCCGCGCACCCCGGCCGGCCCGGTCTCCAGCCCAGCATGCACACACGCCGGAGCGGTACCGTACCTGAGACGGGCGTCCGGCGCTCAGCTGACTGGACCAAAGTCGAGCCGCCCGCTCTGCCGTCAGTCAAAGCCGAGCAACATTCATTGGCAGTCGGTATTTATTGACGATAAAAGCCAACAGTTTTGGCACTCGCACACACTTAGAACACAGGGAATTTCATCAAACCACAGCAAACGGGTGGTCCCTCGCGGAATCTCGCCTCACGGAACGGCCGGGCCAACAGCCCACAACTGGACGGAATAACTTCACTTTGACTAGAATCTTGACAACACAATTTCCTGTGCTTCAGACCTCGCGCCGCCGTCCCAGCGCAGTTCAGACCGTCCGGTCGCCAGAGCCCAGCGCTCCGCTTCTACATGCCCCTCTGCTGGCCGGCTGGCCAGCTCTCCGCGTGGCCAGACCGAGGGGCTGCCACCGACGCCCGCTCCGTCGTCTCGCGGGCGGCGGGGCAGGCCGGTGGCCGGTGTCCGTCGCCGCGCTACCCCGGCCGGCCGGCAGCGGCCGCCGGTTCGCCGGCGCCGGTCTCCGACGCGGAGCGCCCGCCGCCGCCGCGCCGGCCCATGCAAACTCAAACAAGCCACCGACCAGCGCAACTCAAAGGGCGGCCCGGCCGCCGCGGCCCATGCGTCTCACTACGGGGCCGGGAGGGGCGGCGCGCGCTCAGCGCCCGCACGGCCTACCTGGCGGGCAGGCCGACACGCACTGGCCGTCGACGTGCGTCAGCCCCGAGCGGCACAGCACACAGTTGGTGTCACTGGGACCCACGCAAGTCTCGCATCCGGCCGAGCACAGCTCGCATCTGAAACACAGCCGGACACACAGTTGGTGTCACTGGGACCCACGCAAGCCTCGCATCCGGCCCAGCACAGCTCGCATCTGAAACAAAGCCGGACACACAGTTGGTGTCACTGGGACCCACGCAAGTCTCGCATCCGGCCGAGCACACCTCGCATCTGAAACACAGCCGGACGACGGCGATCACAGGACTCCGGGCGGTAAGCACGGCCGCCACATAGGAGGGGGGGGGGGGGAGGGGGCGGAAAGAGCGGTCACTGGACTGTTGAGGATCGCGGGTGGCATAGGAAGAAGACGGCCGCCACGTGGCACAGGACGGGCGGGGCGGTCACAGAGCAGCCGGGACGACGGAGGTTATAGCCTAGGCAGCACAGCCCGCATCAGGAGAAAGCTGAGACCAATGTCCGTGTTTGTCAGCTGGCTGAGGCTCATCACCGCCTCCAGGCAAGGCGCGAACGAGCTCAACGAAACAGTGACATGGCCAGAACACAACGTTGTAGATATGGGTGCGACCGTGTCGCCCAACACTGCAGTGGTTTCAAGACTGAGACGCCTCAATATCCAGAAAACAGGTTAAAGGTTATTAGGTTACCTAGCATGGCGGACAAAGCGTACCGAAGTCGTCCTGGCTTGATGGTACACTTCAAGGGCTTTCAACTGGACGACACCAAAGAACTAGCTAGCTTGAGCGCCCATACCCAGCTGATGGACTATTGGTACAGGATGTCATCATCCCAGTGCTCCGGTGCGCCGCGCCGTTCAAGGAGCCTTGAGAGCGCAGTCTAAACAAATATCCCTCTGCCTGGCCGCTTGGTGCCGCCGAAAACAAACGAGAGTGGGCGAAGGCTTTCGTCGCGCCGCTCGCCGGGGAGCGCCAGCACGCCATCAGCCACATACGGCTGGGTCAGCTGCTGCTGCCCCGCCGCCGAAACAGCACGGCCAGCACACACCCAGCGCAGGACGTGTGGAGACAAAGGCCGCAGCAAGCTGTCAAGTGACACCGACGGCGGCTGGTGAGCTGCGGCGCAGTAGTCAACTGGCACCGACGCGGCTAGTGAGCTGCGGCGCAGTAGTCGACTGGCACCGACGCGGCTAGTGAGCTGCGGCGCAGTAGTCGACTGGCACCGACGCGGCTAGTGAGCTGCGGCGCAGTAGTCAACTGGCACCGACGCGGCTAGTGAGCTGCGGCGCAGTAGTCAACTGGCCCCGACGGCGGCTGGTGGGCTGCGGCGCAGTAGTCGACTGGCACCGACGCGGCTAGTGAGCTGCGGCGCAGTAGTCAACTGGCCCCGACGGCGGCTGGTGAGCTGCGGCGCAGTAGTCAACTGGCACCGACGCGGCTAGTAAGCTGCGGCGCAATAGTCAACTGGCCCCGACGCGGCTAGTAAGCTGCGGCGCAGTAGTCAACTGGCCCCGACGGCGGCTGGTGGGCTGCGGCGCAGTAGTCAACTGGCACCGACGCGGCTAGTAAGCTGCGGCGCAGTAGTCGACTGGCACCGACGCGGCTAGTGAGCTGCGGCGCAGTAGTCAACTGGCCCCGACGGCGGCTGGTGAGCTGCGGCGCAGTAGTCAACTGGCACCGACGCGGCTAGTAAGCTGCGGCGCAGTAGTCAACTGGCCCCGACGGCGGCTGGTGGGCTGCGGCGCAGTAGTCAACTGGCACCGACGGCGGCTGGTGGGCTGCGGCGCGGTGGAGGATATTTCTCGATCCACCAGCGACAAAGGCAACATCTGAATGGTTCAGCCGTCTGCAGCAGTCCATCTACGGCGCGCTATGCGCGGCAGATCACGTGCCACACCCGACTCAGACTTCGGCAGCTGGCTGCCGTGGCTCACCTTTCGTTGACCTCGTACGTGCCCGCCGGACACGACGCCACACACTGGTTCTTGTGCAGGATCAGGTGCGGGGCGCAGCTGAGGCAGTGGTTGCTGGAGCCCACGCACGAGGTGCAGTGCGGTCCACATGACTCGCAGGTCCCGTTCACTAAAGCCAAGGCACAAATTCGCGGCTCAGAGCAGTCCGCTATCCATGGTTCACAGCTCAATGAACACCACCCCACCGCGCCCGCTGCCCAAACACGTGGACAGCCCACCACCCCCGCTGCCCAAACACGTGAGCAGCTCACCATCCCGTCACGCCCGCTGCCCGAACACGTGAACAACTTACCGCCCCGCCATGCCCGCTGCCCAAACATCTGAACAGCTCACCTCTCCCCCTCCCCCCGCCACTCCCGATCCCCTGAAACCAACATCTGAACAGCACACCACACCCCGCCGTGCCCGCTCCCCTGAGACACCGGAACAGCACACCACACCCCGCCACGCCCGCTCCGCTGAGACACCGGAACAGCACACCACACCCCGCCGCGCCCGCTCCCCTGAGACCAACACCTGAGCAGCACACCACACCCCGCCACGCCCGCTCCCCTGAGACACCGGAACACCACACCACCACCCGCCACGACCGCTCCGCTGAGACCAACACCGGAACAGCACACCACACCTCGCCGTGCCCGCTCCCCTGAGACACCGGAACAGCACACCACACCTCGCCACGCCCGCTCCCCTGAGACACCGGAACAGCACACCACACCCCGCCACGCCCGCTCCGCTGAGACACCGGAACAGCACACCACACCCCGCCGCGCCCGCTCCCCTGAGACACCGGAACAGCACACCACACCCCGCCGCGCCCGCTCCCCTGAGACACCGGAACAGCACACCACACCCCGCCACGCCCGCTCCCTGAGACACCGGAACAGCACACCACACCCCGCCACGCCCGCTCCGCTGAGACACCGGAACAGCACACCACACCCCGCCGCGCCCGCTCCCCTGAAACACCGGAACAGCACACCACATCCCGCCACGCCCGCTCCCCTGAGACACCGGAACAGCACACCACACCCCGCCACGCCCGCTCCCCTGAGACACCGGAACAGCACACCATCCTCCGCCACGCCCGCTCCGCTGAGACACCGGAACAGCACACCACACCCCGCCGCGCCCGCTCCCCTGAGACACCGGAACAGCACACCACCACCCGCCACGCCCGCTCCGCTGAGACACCGGAACACCACACCACACCCCGTCGCTTAGCGGGCGCCAAGTGCAATCATCCTCCGCCGGCCGGCACGCAACGCCGCGATCTGCCGGTCGGCGACCGCTGCGACCGGGCGCGTCTGTCTGTGACACGGCTGCCGGCGGCGGCCGCCCGGTCCCATCGCATGAGACACGGCCCGTAAACAGGCCCCGGCCGGCCGGCCGTCGGCACGCCGTCGACCTATTCCCAATCCAATCAGTGTAAATCCGGCGGCGGCGGCGACGGCGCCGGCGGCGGCCGGTCGGCGTGCGGCCGGGCGGCCGCCGCCGGCGCGTCCTGTGACGGGCGCACCGCCAGGCAGCCGGGCCAGGGCGCGCTGTGACAGACACACCGCCGGGCGGCCGGGCCAGCGCGCGCTGTGACGGACACACCGTCGGGCGGCCGCTGCCGGCGCGCGCTGCGAGTTGTCAGGCCCACACAGGGCACCCACAGATGGACACATCGGTGTAGATGTGTGGGGACGCAGAAAATGACAAACTGACACACTCGGACACACGTCCGCATCCACACTCGTGAATATAACTGGACTCGCTGACACACAGCACGGTGTCATATCCGTAAAACTCAAGAACCCCACATACACCCGGACAAACAACACAGGCACACACAAGTACACACACTGGTGCACATACATTCACCCGGAGCGCGCGCAAGCGCACGCACGCACCCACACCCACACGCCAGACGGTGCCGGCGCCAACGGGCCGCTCTCTGTCCGTCTCTGCGGCACGTTGCGGCACGCCCGGCGGCACTCCGTGGGAGGGGCACGTGACCCGGCAGGGCGGAGGGGAGGCAGTAGCACATCACTAGAGCCGCGGGTCTCGAGCGGGGCCACCCGACGGCTGCCGAGTCGGACCCGAGCCAGGCATCCGGCGAAGGCGGGTCGGCGGGACGAGAGCGCCTCCTCCGCTGGGGCGGCCGCGTGCCACGCCGTCGGCGCCTGAGCGCGGCCACCTGAGTGACGGCACAGGCAACCTGGCTCCCACGGCAGACCTGGGTCCGATTCTGACCGGGCTCTGCGCCTGCCCGGCTGGCGGGGTCGCGTCGGTACGCCAGCCCCGAGCTGCGGGCCGCCCCGGCAGATGCACCGCGGTGGGGCCCACCGGAGCATCTACCCACGGAACTGCGATTACTGCCGGCGGGGTGGGTCCGGGTCCAGCCGACGAGACGGCGACCAGCCCCGCTCCCCGCTCCCCGCCGCCATTACGCCATCACGACAGCGGTAGGAGCGAACGCTGCCGCCACACAGACCGCGACACCGCCGCGGCGGGCAGCCGGCGGCCCGGCCGGCGCCACCGCCGCCGTACCGTTAAAGTAGCCGTCGGGGCAGGCGGCCACACACACGCTGAGGTCGGTGATGAGCTGGTGTCCGGCGGCGCAGTCCAGACACTGGTTCTGCAGCCGGCCGAAGCAGGTGCCGCAGGAGGAGTGGCACGGCTGGCAGCCTGACTCGCCGCTGTAGAAGGTGCCCGGGTCGCAGCTGCGCTTGCAGTCGCTGCGGCGGCCGGACGGGCGTCAGGGGGCGGCGGCGGTCGAGCCAACAGCCGTGAGGTGAGGACGGCAGACAGCCATGACGTCAGCACACACGGACACACGTGCGGACATCCCCGCACCCGACGGAGCGTGGCCCGCCTGCTGGCCTTCATCGTTTCAGGCCATGTGCCGTCAGTCCTCGGACAATCCGCTGTTAACCGAGCGCAAGCCTCCGCCAGAGCTCGGAATTAGCGCATACGAGTCGACTTCTCAAAAGGAACAGGCACGAGCCCCGCTAGAATCAAACAGAACAGGCACAAGCCCCGCTAGAATCAAATAGAACAGGCACGAGCCCCGCTAGAATCAAACAGAACAGGCATGAGCCCAGTCTCGCCACTGCTGCTGACGCATTGCGGTTAAAGATGCCTATCTGGCTGGATCTAGAGGCAAAAGCAAAGGCACACTGATATTCACTGCAGGCGCCCCACTCTGTAACACCGATAAGGCTATTCTGTTTCCGCTGTTACCGCTCGCGTGAGCGGTTACAGACGCCAAGAGTTGTTTCTCACACCAGGGTTGCGTGTCACTTCCCTCCGTCTCCCATGCTTTTTCGCGCTGAAACAGAGTATTCCAGCACTTCCCACCGCTGCTGTAACATTCGTAGTAACGCTACTGCCCTATTACGCATCTAGCGGAGGTGACTTGCGGGTCACGTACCCCCCCCCCCCCCCTCCGCAGTCGTGACCGTCGCTGTGGAGTCGCTCACCTTTTGTACTGTTCGCGGCATCGTTTGCAGCTGTCGCCGGCGGGCTGCGTCTGGCAGCTGTGCACGCACTGGCGGCTGCAGTAGAGGCCGATCGTGGACGTGCCGCTCCGGTTCACTACCGAGGCGCGCACCGCCGCACCGGCGGCCGGCTGCAACACCGGCGCGTCTGACGTCACCACACTGGCGCGGCCACCGTGGCCAGCTGGCGGCAACGCGAGTCGCCTGCACGCTGGCCTCGTAATCCAGCGACGCTGGACACGAGCGCCAGAGCAGCAGCGTGGTGTGGCCCGGCTGACAAACAACGGCCAGCTGACAACCGGCCGAAGAGTCAGCTGACCCAGGAAGGCCGCACCGCAGCCCGCATGACGCCCCGCCGGCCTGTCCGCCAGGGAGGGGGCGGGATGGGTTGGAGCGGCACAGCTTGGGCGGTGGGATCCCACAAATCGCTATCTTTTGTTTTAGCAAGCACCCTGAAGCCAAAGCCACCCATGTACACCATTCAAACAAGTTGAGGAAATTAATGTCACAAGAGTCGGGAGTCCCACGACGAGGAGGCGATAGATTCAGGCGATGCTCCATGAATACCGACGGGTGCGGTGAACTGGGGCCAGAGTCACGTGCAGTCCGAGAGTTTGGACCGTGGGCCGAACTGGGTACACCACTGCACGTCGCAATAGAAAGTGACTTAAAGCCGCAGAGGAGACCGGAAAGTTCAAAGGCGTGGTGGCGTATGAGAGACAAACACGCCACAGGTCTGGTCCCGCCGTCCACTAACCCACTCACACGGCCCCAGTCACATGAATCGCCACCTTACCTTCAGAATCCCCCCCCCCCCCCCGCCATCCCCCTGCCGCGCGCCGCGCGTCCGCTCACAGGCGCATAGCACCATTCTGCGGTTCCAAATTGACGTGCGGGTATATGCCCCGGGAGCGAGGCGGTTTCATTACGGTCGAGCCGTGCGCCGCAGACAACAGGAATCAATAGGCCGGCAGCTGGCGGGCCGCGCGTCACAGGCGAAGCACAGCCCAGCTGGGTCGCGCGGCCGCCGCTTTATCGGCGAGCGGCAGCGGCGCGTCGTCTGGGCGGCAGCGAGAGTTCGCGCAGGATGGGTGGGGGGCCAGGCGATTGGTTCGGCCGTTTGGGTGTGGGGGGGGGGGGGGGGGGCAGGCGATTGGTTCGGCCGTTTGGGTGGTGCGGTGGTGAGATGCTGTGGGAAGAGGTGAACGGCGGTGGGGGCGGCGAGACGCGGTGTTACGGGAAGTCAGGAGGTCAGGAAGTCAAGTGCCACCGGCGATTAGGGAAATGGTGGCGCGCGGAAGGCTGCCAGATGGCGTTGGCCCTGTCTCTAGTGCACAGACCCAGGGCAGGGAGCGTCGCAATCACGCTGCCTTGTGAACTTTGCTGTGCTGAGCCGTACGTCTAGCAATCCACTGGCGCGACAGCGGAGTGTCGTATACGCAGGCATGGACGGGTTCTATAGACGGGGAATGGAGACCATTTTCGTTCCAGCTGCTGCAGCTACCGCTGCAGTCTGGCGCCGGTCCCAACAGACCCGGCCTGCAGCTCGTCTTACCGAGCCCACAGCACGCACTCGTACTCAGACGTGTCGCCGCAGCCGCCGGACTGCACCGGCGCGACCGTTCGCTGACGCCTCTCACGGCGGCGCGCGGCGGGGGCGACAGCCTCGACCTTCCCCAGGGAGCCCCTTCCCCACCGCATCCCCAGAGACCCGGCCAGCGGCCACTCGCGTGTCGCGCCGCCAAATCAAAGGAGGGACATAATGAAATGAATTACCAGGCCGGCTGGCAGGAGGTGGCGTCGCGAGACACCGCGTGCGGTCCGGGGGAGGGGAGGGGGCGCCAGATGAAGGCGGAGACACGGCACGACAGGGAGGACGCCGGCGGGACGACACAGGTTACCGGCCACGGCGCGGGGAGGAGCGCCACGAGGAGCACGGCGACGTCTCACGCGATCGTTGACGGCACGGGATACGACAGGCGCCGGCGCGCCGGCCCGAGGACCTGAGCTGCGACTCACCTGCTCCCCGGGCGGCGGCCGCAGTCGGATGGGCTCCTGCTCCGTGCCGTACAGGATCAGCTGCCACTCCTTCAGCACGCCGCCCGTCTCCGGGGCATGCGTGTGCGGGTACATGGTCGGTCGGTCGGTGTTGATCACGGTCAGGTTCCAGACGCCGCGCGGGTTCTCGCCCCAGAAGTGGACCGACATGAAGGGCCAACGGTCGAAGCTGCTGCCGGTGACGTCTCGCGGCCGCTTGAACAGCAGCGTGGTGACAGTGCCGGCCGGCGATGTGAGCAGGATGCACAGGTTGCCGCGCGGCACGTATGTCAGCGTCACCTTGCACTGTACGTGCTCCAGGAAGTTGACCGTCTGCGGAGTGCCGTGGCAGGCGGCCGCCTCCATGGAGACGCGCAGCTGGCCGCCGTACTCGGTGGGGATCGCCCTGCCGTCGGCGGGGGCGGCCGTGAGCGCCGTGCCGCGGGCGCCGCCGCTCGCTCGGCGCCCGTCCCGCCCACCCAGCCGCCGGCCCCAGATGGCCGACTCGCAGCAATTAAAGGGCGCGATACAACTGTCTAACGAGCAGGCTAGAACGACTGGCAGCGGCACTCCAGACGAATGAGGTCGCTGCTGGCATTTCGCGACGGGCCGGGGCCAGGTCGTCAGCGAGGCACGGGGGGGGGGGCGGGGGGGGGGGGGGTTACGCTAATCGTCATTGTTCATTACAAAAGAATACGACCCGGGAGCTACAGCAGATTCGCGCAAGGCACGCGAAAACACCGGGCCCAATGTGGATAATGCATGCACTGCCTCCACCCAATCGCGCCCGGTCCATGTGCGCCTGCGGGGGACGGCATCTCCACCTGAGAACGCTGCTGGCCCGCCGTCCACCCAGACCAGGGGGCCTCTCCGTACTGACTGCAGAGGTCCGGCTGCACAGGCCGGGCATGTGCAGCGGGCTGCACTGACAGCACGCATCCCGCCACTGACGACACGTGAGCACCGGTAGACCAACCAGCCCCAAACTCCGCACGACTCCACACCACCAGCGGAGAGTAGCCAGACCTGCAGCCCGTCTGGGGGTCCCACCAATGGTGGCATGGCATCACAGTTCTCCCCAAGGGAGGCAGGCCACCGCTGACCCTCCACAGACCGCCGCAGGCCGGCGTACCGGCCGGTCGGCGGCGGCCGGCGGCGGCCGTCGGCGGGTCCGCCCCGGACCGGCGGCCGCGTCCGTCGCGGGGCGGTGCAGCGCCGCTCTCACCGCGTCCGGCTATCGATGGGCGTGATGCAGATGTGCTGCGCCGGCACGGACGTCCACCGCTTGGCCAGGTCCACCATGGCGCCGGCGTCCATCAGGCCGTAGCCGAACTTGTGACTCACTGCGGCAGAGGTGCCCGGTGACGGCCACAGCCGGCTCGGCGGCCGCGGCGCCGCTCCCGCACCGGCACGCGGCACCGTGCGACACTAACAATTATCCGCTGGCACACGGCCCCTCTCAACTGACTGCTCATTAGGCAGCACAGCGCGACTGAAAACAACAGCTCGATTCAGCGCGCTGTCCTGTAACCCGGTGCGTCTCCCCGGCGCCCACGTGCATGCCCCCTCCGATAGCCCACGTCACGCACCTAGTAAACGCGCCAAGAAATCAGGGGGTGCCCCCTGCGCGAGATTCCGTAGCTGTTTCAGGGTTCTAGCCCACACTACTCATCCACTGTCAGGCGACGGCAGCTGACACAAATAGCGAGCACGCATCACACCCTCATCGCTGGCCCGACCCGACACGCCGTGCGACAGCAACGGATTCACACCAAGAGGACAGCACAGCGGAGCTTCTGCCAAACTTCGCCAGAGGCGAAACAGGCCGCGTCGTCTGCGGCATGCCCGCGCCATTCCCGCCAGAAAAACTCAATTGAATCCCGTGGGAAGCATCGCCAGCCGACAGCTGAAGGCTCGGCGGCTCGGGCGGCTCTGCCCAGCGGACAGAACGGCGCCGCCCACTCGACGCTGTCGCCGGGCCAGCCAGAATTGACCACTCCACAACAGCTGATAGGATTGGATCACTCGATCTCAGAGTGGACGGACACAAACTGAACTCCTCAGCCACTTGCGTTTCCACAGTGGAGCTCATCGTACTGGTTACCACAGCACGCAACAAGGGCAGCAGCGCACCCAGCCCACTGCCACGCAGCACAAGCGCCACGAATGCCGCTAAGCAAAAAGGCGTCACTAGCGTCACCTAGAATGGTAACTCAGATCGACGCATTCCCAGCGGGAAGGAATTGGCACTTTCTACCAGTGTCACGTTGTCGCCATGCCAAAAAAGCGAACGGGACATCTGGGGCAAAACTCTCCCACTTTGCCCGCGGGCTGCAGTCATAAACTTGCGGAACGGTGCACCGAAATGATTACAGCAACGGTTGGGTTTAGTGAAGTGGCATCCAGCGGATTTGTTCCAAAGAAGATAGACAATACTTATTCAAGAAGCGCCAGCCGTGAACACCGTACTGCGCTGAGGTGAGCCCGACACAGGGAAGCACGACACGTGCTTCCCTCCCCGGTCACTCCGCGCCAACAGGTGAGCCCGACACGGGGAAGTACGACACGTGCGCCCCCTCCCCGACCACTCCACGCCAACAGGTGAGCCCGACACGGGGAAGCACGACACGTGCTCCCCCTCCCCGGTCACTCCACGCCAACAGGTGAGCCCGACACGGGGAAGCACGACACGTGCGCCCCCCCCCCCCCCCCCCTCCCCCCGGTCACTCCGCGCCAACAGGCTGCGCACGATGCTGTCGCTGAGGACGCCCCGGATCCTTCGGTCAGAACTGCCGTTGGAGAAGGGGAACGCCCCTTAGGTGTCTCTCTTTTCACATCTGTTCTCGGACTGTCGCTCAGCATGGGACTTGGCCGGGGTCCGCGCGGCACTACTGTACCTCTGCGGCCGACACCGTTGGTCCGCCAGCCCACCTCCTTGGCCAGCGGCTCGGACCGCGACGTCATAAGCACGATGTACTGCATGTCCCGCCAGGTCAGCGTCGGGTTGGCCTCCAGCGCCAACGAGCAGAGCCCGGCCGCTAGCGGCGCCGACGCCGACGTGCCTGCGGACACGGGTCGCGTATCACGGCAGAGCCATCTTCTGGACACGCTGTGAAACTGGAGTTGCGCCGGAAAACACAAGGCCGGCAAGATTCGACGCGAGGTCTGCAGTTGGCATACACGGAAGAACGCGAAAAGTCAGCCACTGACGACGGGTGCGACTTCACGAGCACTATCATAACCCACAATCGCCGCTGGCCAATGCCCGGCCAGAGGGCTCTCAGTCAGCCAGACGCCCAGCAGCTGTCCCCGACGGCGGAGACCAGGTCGCACCTGTGTGGGCCACGGTGCAGATGTGTTTGGGCCGGAGCGCGGCGTCTTGGTCACAGGTGGCGATCGATTTGTCCTTCAGCGGCGTGCCCGAGCTGTAGGTGGTCGCCAGCGTGGAGGCGCACTCCTCCAGGTACCAGGGCTTGTTGCTGCGGGCGGCCGACGTTAGTTCCGGCGCGAGTGCAGCGCCCCAGTCTGGCGCCGGGCGAGCAGGCGACGGGCTGCCGCGCAGCACCGGCTCGGACCGTACACACAACCGCGACGCCAGCGATCCAGCCTACACTCCAGCACGGAGGACGGGTCGGTGTTAGCTCTGAACCGGACGGGCGGAGCCGGTTTTGACAAGAATTTTCAAGTTCTTTAGTTTGGATTTCAATAACGCTGACCAGCTCAACATGCACATTACAAAAGCTTGATAAACACCAAGGCCTCCGTGCAATGTCCAAAGACACGCTCATTCAGAGCGCCGTAGCGACAAGAGACATGTTATCACCAAAGCGCAGAGAAGATTCCACACTTACCCGCCCTGAGAGGCTGACGAGATGGACAGCGTGAAGATGCTGTTGGTGTAGCCGTCGCAGTTGCAATTGTCCACGTACTGGCCACCGTTCCCCGAAGCCCACACAAAGATGGAGCCCTTGCCGCCGCGACCCTGACAACAGCACTCGTGACAGGCCCATCACCGCAATAATGGGCAACCCGTCAACGCCACAGACACGCCAACCCCAGGCGTGATGAGCTCAAACTATTCACATAAAATGATTAGCATTCAAATGGAACAACTTGGCCCACTTTCACGGAACCAGAAACAAAGCAGGCCGATGAGGACCGCGGGGCACGGCTCCGGTCAACCCTAGCACGGCAACGAGCCCCTCAGCGCTCGGCCGTGTTAAACACCTCAGGGCCGTGCCGTCCCACGTGATCGAGCACGTCACCTGGACTGCGCGGTCCATCCGTAGCCTCAGCCCGCTCCCGTCAGCCGGTGCCGACGCCCAGCGGACCCCGCCCACCGCGCCGGCTACCTTAAGCACGCCCTCGATGAAGGCGCGCCGCGCCAGCGGGCCGGGCCCGTCCACAGTCTTGCCGTCGTCCTCCGGCCCCCACGAGGCGCTGTAGATGTCAATGTGGTTGCGGCGGTAACTGAGCGCCTTGGCCTCCACGTGGTCGTTGACACCGCCGTCCAGCATGCGAACGCCTGCCGACGGAGAGAGCTGAACCACAGCAAAGAGACGGCGCCGTCTATGCGGAGCCGGGTAGGGCGGGCTCGGCGGGCCAGGGAGGTGCCGCCTAGCTCAAGAAAGCCAGGCGGCGCCACCCTGGCCGGCACAGGGACGGCTGCAAGAGGATGGGGGGGACGCTTCCCCTCCCCCCCACCCCACCCCACTTGCTGACTACGGAGCGAGACAATTGTCGGTGATCCAGGCCACACACAGAGCGGGGGACGAGCCGACCCTGCAGGCCACACATGAGGACATCGGAGCGGGGGACGAGCCGACCCCGCGGGCCACATGTGAAGACATCAGAGCGGGGGACGAGCCGACCCCCCGGACCACAGGTGAGGACATCAGAGCGGGGGACGAGCGGGGGCGGGGGACGAGCCGACCCCCCGGACCACAAGTAAGGACATCAGAGCGGGGGACGAGCCGACCCTGCGGACCACAGATGAGGACATTGGAGCGGGGGACGAGCGGGAGCGGGGGACGAGCCGACCCTGCGGGCCACAGGTGAGGACATCGGAGCGCTGTCACACCATCAGCGGGTCACCTGGCCGACGCACAGACCCGACCGGAGCAGTGACCTTCGGCGAGACCCCTCCCCGCTCGTTCCCAGAGCAGACTTTACCCAGATATATACGTAAATGAGTCAGGTTTTCTTGCACTCTCCATGTTTTTGGTCTGAGGCAGCCGGTGCTGACGACCCAACAAAACACGACGAACCACAGACGCACGGCCGTGGCCAGTAGCACAAAAAGCGCCAGCAGTGCCAGATGGCTGGCTAGCTTGGCGTCAATCTTTTCTACCATACCACAACAGGAGGGGACCTATACTCGTTACTAGGCAGCTGGCTTATCGCATTTACGCTGTTTGCGGAGCCAATCTACAAAATGACTGAATATACAAGCCCCACGAGTGGCTGACCCTCAATGGCAACGCCACACGCGAGCTTAGTGTCCGTGCTTGACCGCGAGGATGATCGTCGACTCGCCGGCGCCGATTGTGGCGGTGAGCGTCACCACAGAAACACCGCCTCAGTGCCCCCCCCCCCCCCCCCCCGAACAGGACTGGACATTGGGACCGACCCTCTGCCCGACACGCCGAACTCCAGTGCCAGGGTCCACCTCAGCACACACATACACGCCGAGCTGAGCCGCTGCCGCTGGGACCCCTGCCGGATGGCCGGCCGACCCCGCCACTGACCTCCGATGCTGGCGTTGGGCGCCACGCCGACGCCGCAGACGGTGTTGCCGGCGACGGCGGCCACCTCGCCAGCGCAGCGCGTGCCGTGCCGGTTCGTGCCGTCATCCCGCGGCGTCGGGTCGTCGTCGTTGTCATTAATGTCCAGCGACGCGCGGCTGTCCTGCGGCGGCGGGGTCCGTCAGCGCGCCACAGGGCAGGGGCCTGCAGGTGGGCTGGGGGGGGGGGGGGGGAGAGTCACGGGGAGGCGGGGTGTCGGGCAGGAACGGACCGGAGACGGGAGGCAGAGCTGCGCAGCCCCCCCCCCCCCCCCCCGAAGCGGCTGACGGGCTGGCCATCTGCTGCCGGGCCCGGGCGACCGTGACACTGACCAGTCGGCCGGTGCGGCCGGCAGGTGGCCCTACTCCCAGAACTGAGTCGCCGTTTCTGGGAACTGGACGGCAGCACACACTCGGCGAGCCCGGGCAAAGTGCGAAGCAGGCGGGAGTGCTGGTGTGCCGTAAAACGCGGTGAGGCACGTCTTCAATGCCGCAAAACACCAATGGCCAAAACACGACCAGCATCCCGGCCGCGCATGAAGAAGAGCAGCCCCGTCAGGGCGCGTGAAGATCAGCCCCGTTAGGGCGCGTGAAGATCAGCCCCGTCAGGGCGCGTGAAGATTAGCCCCATCAGGGCGCGTGAAGAGCAGCCCCGTCAGGGCGGGTGAAGAGCAGCCCCGTCAGGGCGGGTGAAGAGCAGCCCCGTCAGGGCGGGTGAAGAGCAGCCCCGTCAGGGCGGGTGAAGAGCAGCCCCGTCAGGGCGGGTGAAGAGCAGCCCCGTCAGGGCGCGTGAAGATTAGCCCCGTCAGGGCGGGTGAAGAGCAGCCCCGTCAGGGCGCGTGAAGAGCAGCCCCGTCAGGGCGGGTGAAGAGCAGCCCCGTCAGGGCGGTGAAGATCCCCGTCAGGCGTGAAGAGCATCCCCGTCAGGCGGGTGAAGAGCAGCCCCGTCAGGGCGGGTGAAGATCAGCCCCTCAGGGCGCGTGAAGAGCAGCCCCGTCAGGGCGCGTGAAGATTAGCCCCGTCAGGGCGGGTGAAGAGCAGCCCCGTCAGGGCGCGTGAAGATTAGCCCCGTCAGGGCGGGTGAAGAGCAGCCCCGTCAGGGCGGGTGAAGAGCAGCCCCGTCAGGGCGGGTGAAGAGCAGCCCCGTCAGGGCGCGTGAAGATTAGCCCCGTCAGGGCGGGTGAAGAGCAGCCCCGTCAGGGCGCGTGAAGATTAGCCCCGTCAGGGCGGGTGAAGAGCAGCCCCGTCAGGGCGCGTGAAGATTAGCCCCGTCAGGGCGCGTGAAGATCAGCCCCGTCAGGGCGCGTGAAGATCAGCCCTGGCAGGGCGCGTGAAGAGCAGCCCTGGCAGGGCGCGTGAAGATCGGCCCCGTCAGGGCGCGTGAAGAGCAGCCCCGTCAGGGCGCGTGAAGATTAGCCCTGGCAGGGCGGGTGAAGAGCAGCCCCGTCAGGGCGCGTGAAGATTAGCCCCGTCAGGGCGGGTGAAGAGCAGCCCCGTCAGGGCGCGTGAAGATTAGCCCCGTCAGGGCGCGTGAAGATTAGCCCCGTCAGGGCGGGTGAAGAGCAGCCCTGGCAGGGCGCGTGAAGATCGGCCGCGGCCAGCAATGCGCGTCAACTGAGAAACACCAGCGCGACGTGACTTGCCCCCCCCCCCCCTCCTTCCCCCCCTCTCCTCACCCACGTGGGCCGAGTGGGCGGTTCGCAGAACGAGGGTCCACTGCTTCTCAATCTCGCCTCCTGCCACGGGCGAAAATAGCAGCCCTCGCTTCTCACCGCCCACCGCAGCCGCGAACAACAGTCACGTAATGGAATCGCGACGCTGGGCCAATATCCACCATGGGCTGGTTTACGTAGCGCAGTGGCCTTCGGAACCTCGCACTGCGGTCCGTTGGACACAGCCCTGCCTTCTCCCCCCCCCCCCCCCCCCCCCCCCGCCTGCTAGCGTGGGTCCAGCAGCGCTCGCCTGGCGCTGCATAAACAGAGCACCAGCGGCGGAGAGGCGCGCCGGGCTGTCGTCTGCCGTGCGGCGGCCGGCCGCGCGGGGTCTGCTCTCAGCCCGTCCCCGGCCGGCCGGTCAACGGGTCAGCTCCCGCAGTGTCGGCGGGAGGGGAGGCGTTCGACAGCGGTCACACTGCGGAGATGGGGTGGGACAGGACGAACAGCGGCGCGGAATCAAATGATACACATGAGAAGTCGCTAATTAGTAAATGCCAACCAAACATAGCTGATTCGCTGTTCTAATGTCTGGACATAATGGAAAACAGGGGAACGGTGGGGCGAAAAACAGGACCAAAAACAAAGCTTAAAAGGACTGTCTCACACTTGAAGATGTCGAAGCAAGCATCACATATGATGAAACAAGCTCACTTATAACTAATGGCATTCTTTCAAGTAGAACAAACTGCTCTAGACAACACAATTTCTCTGTTTAGTAAATAAGCTCCTCGATATATCATTGCTTGATTACGTCATCGCACCTCGCACAACACTGAGAGCCAATTGACGGCCATTATATCCGGAAATTGTGTTTCCGAACACCAGATATGAACAGCTCGACCATTATATTTTGATCGGCCTTGATCTCCACATGGCTTATGGAATGACAGGATTTAAATGGCGTTATTATGACCTCATGAATTCCAAAGTGACCTAAAAATACTCTTCCATTTTCGCGGCCGTGTAGCCCAGAAACTAGAGGGATTTATATCTCAGGAAGAGGCTGTGAACTGAAACAAAAGGTCGCCGAGATGGCTATTTGATTTCAAAACCCCATTAAGATGTGAACACTCCCTCGAAAACAAACGCATTAAACCATTCGCATATTAGCGCACTTCGCACTCTGCACGTACAGGCGTGGCGCCTCGTGTCCGAGCTCCCACGCAATCCCGAGCGAGTGCAGCTCTCCCCGGCTGCTGCGTGGCTCGTCGGCGCCGCTGTCCGCTCCGCGGCGCGCGCTCGGCGCCGGCGCTCGACTCACGTAGTTGGCGGCCAGGTCGGGATGGTCGGGCTGAATGCCGTCGTCCAGGATGGAGACGACCACGCCCTTGCCGCTGTAGCCTTGCTGCCAGGCGGGGATCACGTTCATGTCGCTGCCGTCCTTGGCGCCGCCGTTCTGCGGAGGGAGCGGCGGTGAGCACGGCTGCGGGCCGCCAGACCCGTCCCCAGGTCGGCCCGTGACCTCACGGTGTGGCCGCCGGCCGGAACAGCGCACGGCCAGCGCCAGAGCCGACAGCTGCTGGGACGACGGCCAGTGCCGCACGCGTCTGTGTCGTGAGGCGGGTGGCGCGGCGCGCTCCGAGGATCACCCCGACCCGCTCGCGCGCCTCCAGCGAGCGGCGGGGGTCCCGGCGACGAGGCGACACCAGACGATCGCGACGACATCGCTCCTTGAGCTGTCCGTTGTCGCCGAGCGGACGTCAGCACGAGGCTCGCAACGGACAGGGCCTGCTCTACCTGACAGGAATCTCCAGCGGAGGGGGGAGGCCGGCGGCTATACTGACGGACAGGACCTGCTCTACCTGACAGGAATCTCCAGCGGAGGGGGGAGGCCGGCGGCTATACTGACGGACAGGACTTGCTCTACCTGACAGGAATCTCCAGCGGAGGGGAGGGGGGGCCGGCGGCTATATTGACGGACAGGACCTGCTCTACCTGACGGGAATCTCCGGTAGAGGGGGGGGGGGGGGGGGAGAGGGCTGGCGGCTATATTGAGGCGCACGTTAGCGCGAGTTTCCGACCAAGCATAATGCAGTGAACGTTGAGAGGTTGGCATTCAAATTCCCATCCGGATAACTTCACAAGTTTCGCCGGGGCTCGTGATGTCTAATGGTCTAGAGTGGTAGTGCTTAATGCGATACGACTGCACGAACGTCCCGAAGCTGACCACTTACCAACTTTGGACAGCTCTGGGCATTCTCATCCGCCTTAGCCATTACCTGAATTGAATCGAAGCACCGGAATTGAATAACAGTGCCGTCTACAGCACAGTATCCGACCCGTGAGGTCTTCGCAACGCCTCACTACGGGCACCTTTTGTGTCCTAGGTCACCATACCAAATGGACATAACACACATGGGAAGTTGTTGCGAACAAGCCTGTTTACAATCATTTGGAGCGTACCACTGCGGACAGCGATCACACATGTCATCTCGCCACGTGCCGATTGAAACGAAAACTCAGAGCATCTGCTAGGGATGGACCTGCCCCCCCCCCCCCCCAGTGTCAGTCCCCAGCCGTCCCCCGACATAATCTCCTAGTCAATACCGACATGTCTCGCCCAATCGCCCACCGCTCGCAACCGATGATGCAGGCCCACAAATTATGTGCTCCTACAAGGTCACAGTCCAGTCCAGTCCAATGCAGCCCAGTGCATTCCAGTGCCGTGCCGTCCAGTGCAGTGCAGTGCAATGCAATTCAGTTACCAGTATCAGTATCAGTACCATATCAGTACCAGTACCAGTACCAGTACCAGTACCAGTGCCAGTACCAGTACCAATACCAGAACCAGAACCAGGCCCAGGGTCAGGGCCAGGACTAGTACAAGTACAAGCACCAGTACCCGTCCCCGTCCTTGACAATGCCAGTCTCGTGCCAGTGCCAGTCTCGTGCCAGTGCCAGTGCCCGTGCCAGTGCCAGTGTCAGTGTCAATGCCAGTACCAGTACCAGTGTCAGTATCAGTGCCAGTGTCAGTGCCAGTGCCAGTGTCAGTGTCAATGCCAGTACCGGTACCGGTGTCAGAATCAGTGCCAGTGCCAGTGCCAGTGCCAGTGCCAGTGCCAGTGCCAATGCCAGTGCGAGTCCCCGTCCCAGTCCAGGAGCGCCGGCCGTACGCGCAGGTCTGTCGGCCGCGGTGCGGCGGCTGCCCGGCTCGTTGGGGCCACCAGCGCAGATTCTCCGGCGCCAGTGTTTATGTGTCGCGCCGCTCCAGCGCTCCGGCATGCCACGGGAGGTGTGGGCGAGCAGATGGCGCGCACCCAGCGATAGTGCAAACTGAACTTGCTTTGCAAAGGACAATGTTGATGTCCTTGCGTCATTGTACAACACTGCGCACGTTATGAAATCTCGCAAAACAAGTGGGTCCACAAGATAATCAGCATGTTAGCCGCCGGCACGGCGGCACGGATCATGCATTTCCGAGAGAGAGAGAGAGAGAGAGAGAGACAGAGAGGAGAATAGATAGAGACGAAGAG